TGTAGTCACCCTCCCAAACTAACGGATCTGTCCCAGGCTTGGCTAACGTCACCGTTTTAGCATTACAATCCAGGATCGCAAATTGCGGAGAAAGCCAAGTCATACCCAGAATTACATCAAAATCATCCATTTCTAAGATAACCAAATCTACATAAGTATTGCTCCCACAAAAGTTACAAGACAAGACCTATACACCCTTTCAACTATCACAAACTCACCCACCGGAGTAGAAACACAAATAGGTATGTCAAGCAATTCATAATGTAAATTAAGACCATTAGCAAATGAGGAAGATACATAAGAAAACGTGGATCCAGGATCAAACAATACAGAAGCCATGCAATCACAAACCAGAAGATTACCTGTGATGACAGCATCAGATGCCTCCGCTTCAGACCGCCCAGGGAAAGCGTAACAATGGGCCCTATCGTTTGTCTGTCCATTGCCCCTACCATGCGTAACAATGGGCCCTATCTTTTATACCAAGGCATCATCATTAATAATATATATTAAAGTTTCTTTTCAAGATTCGGGATTCAATATTTTCATCATGCTTATCTTATCACAATCACATAATCATATTCATGCAAACATACCATTAAGCATATAGTAGGGTTTACAATACTACCAATACATATCATTCACTATTAAGAGTTTACTTATGAAAGCATGAAACCATAACCTACCTCCACCGAAGAATTGAAATCAAGCAAGTTAATCCTCAAAGCTTGGTGTTTTCCTCTTCTTCTCGATCGTTTCTCTCTCTCCCTTCTTGTTCTTTCTATTTTCTTATTCAAACCCTCTTTCTTTTACCCTAATTAGTATATAATTAAGAATAAAAGATGGCAATAATACCTCACTAATTAACTTAGGGTTACCTCTTTTAACCCCCAAGAATTTGAGTTATTAATATAAACCCACGAACTTTATAATTAAGGCAAGAATAGTCAAAAACATCCCTTAAAACTTAACCAGAAATCCGACTCCAACTGGGATTATGCAAACTGTGATGGGCCATCGCGCCTGCGACGGTCCGTCCTGCTGTCCGTCGCATAGTTCAGAAACTTGATTTTGGGTGAATGGCCTGTGACGGTCCGTCCTTCCACTCTGTTACGCAGTTCAGAGAGTCGATTTTCAGTACCCAATTTCAGATTTTCTAAGTGTTTTGAAACGAGACCCTGCGACGGTCTGTCGTGCCCATGACGGTCCGTCATGGGGTCCGTCGCTTCTGCCAGTTTTTCCAGAATTGAAGTTTGTTGCTCAAAACGACTAAACAGGTCGTTACACTGGAAATCCAAGAAAAAAGATGTTGTGTCATTATCTTCAGCTAAAGCAGAATACAGGGCTTTGAGAAAGGTTGTTGGTGAATTGGTGTGGTTGAACAGACTTTTTGAAGAACTTGAATGCCAACTTCCACACCTTATGAAGTATTTTGTGATAGCCAGTCAGCTCTTCACATTGCCAGGAATCCAGTATTCCACAAACGAACTAAACATATTAAGGTAGATTGTCACTTCATAAGGAACAAGCTGCATGATGGGCTCATGACTCTACATCATATCACCACTACAGACCAGCTAGCAGACGTATTAACCAAAGCATTTACAGGGATTAAACATTCAGCTATTCTCAACAAGTTGGACGTAAGAAGTATACTTCCAACTTGAGGGGGGATGTTAAATGATATTTAAGTTGTAACAAACCAATGCTGAATCATCCTAGTTTAGTTATATTAATTGTTTGTATAGTTTGTTAGTTAGTTACATAACCAACTTAGTAGTTAGTTTCTGATTTTCAGTTTTGTATAAAAGCACTCTCATCTTCAACAATGAAAAGTTAAGCTTTCATATTCAAAACATATGTCCACATTATACTCAAATGGAGTTTGCATCAATGGCAGAATTGTAGTTTAACAGTTATAAGTAGCCTTATTTTGGGTTTTTTAAAAAAAAAAAGAAATGTAACTAATTCATACTAAATAAGGTCCAATTCACTATAAAGACTCTTGAGGATATGGTGTATCATTGAACCAACAGAATTAATCAAAAAATTCAAATTATCTCCTAAATTTTCTTCATCACAGAAATATTGTTGTTTCTTTTCTATATTTCTCTTCGATTTCAAATTCAGTGTATTTTTCAATTTCATCAAAATCATTGTATTTGGGATTCTGAATGAAAAACAGCGCAATGTTTGAGACACTTAGAATATATACGATGATTACATAAAATACTTATCAAGGAGTACACTATATAATATGATTTGATTGATGCCATTTATTCAAAACATTTGAAAATCGACGAATCTAGAAAAGAATAGAAATCAGATACACTTCTAAAGGGAATTCAACATCAATGGATATTCAAAGTGAAATAGGAATAAGATTATTTTATGTTGAAGATATTCATTGTACATAACGACATAAATACTTAATTGAAAAATTAATGGGAAACTAGTTTTTAATCAGATACAATCCTATGTTTCTAGCCATGGTCGAAAATATTGAAGCATTGTGTGTGATCGATATGTATTTTGATTATATATTATTGACTGTAACCTATGTTTGCTCAGACTTTAAAAAAAATGTCAAGGGTTGCGTGTTAAAGTTGCCAAATGTATGCATATTTTTTTATAACTAGACACGAATACGACATCAACAGTGAATGAAGAAAAAGAACTAGATTCTTGTATGTTTGCCTAAGAAACTAAACAACACAATAAATAAACTTTATTGTGAAAACCTTCCTCTTTCTAGGAAGGAAAAACAATGGTATTATTAACTTTAAACTCAAACTTAAGATTACAACTCAATAATCAAGAACTAAATCCACTTTTTTATTACAACTTTCTCTCAATTCTACTCTCCAAGAACCGAACCCACTTTTACAAGTTTTTTTTCAAATACTAACTCTATTCCTTCTTTAACTTTTTTTTCTTATTTATGTTGGTTTTATTGGGCTTTTGTCATTTTCCTCTTTTAGTTTTGAAATCGTACATATGCTACGTAAACCTAGTTCGTTTTGTCATTATCATCAAAATCCCCTTTTTCATCAACTCCAAGCTTGGATTGTTGTTAAGTTGTTGTTGCAGTGGCGAATCAGCAATTTCCTCATACGACTCAACTAGAGCAGTGCAGGTGTTTTTCTAATTCAGCATCATTTTGTGCCCTAACAAAATAATTGTGACCGCACTAGTAAGCCTAGATAAGAATTTATTTGGGACTAACAATAGTTCTTGAGCGCCAATCACGTCCAGGATGTAGGTTGGATCGTGACAGTCTCATTATTCCCCATTCAATCTAGTTAACATTTAGACAAGTGTGAATTAGGTATATAGCATTTTATATAATAATCTGCTATAAGTAATTTATTTTTAAAAAAATATGTTTATAACTATATATATATATAACCTTAAATGTGTATTAGGATGTTATTTTTATTTAAACGAATATATAAATTACTTTTACATGTCTTCATTATTATTTTACATATTTTCACCTAATCATTGATTACTTCACCCTAAAGATTACAATCAGCCAGACCTCAAACGGCTTGCCATTGGTCCAATCTTTTTAAGTCTGCTTTTGTCCATTGTAATTAGGTTATTTTAAAACTAAACACTTTTTTTCTTCTTTCCATTATTTTAAATTACTAGATTAACTACTATCGATAATTAATTGATAAATATTCATTTAATTAATTAAAATAAAAATATTAATTAATAATTAATGGACGAAATTAAAAATTATTTAGTACTATATATTACTTGGCACTAACTTATTCTAATATTTGAGTCAAGTAGTATAGGGTATTAAATAAATTTCAAATATGTCACATTAACTATCAATTAAATTAATTATTTAAGAAAATACTTGTCAATCTAATAATCATGGATAAACCAACAGTCAAGAATATTCATTTAAAATTTTACAAAAAAAAAAAAAATTAAAAAAGAAATAATTCTAGTTCTCAAAACTATCGGACAAATATACTTAACCCATGAATAGTCATAACTCAAATTAGAATTACAAGCCTTGTCTTAAATGCTAACAAAGTCACAGCCGAAATCCGTTACAAGTAGTAGTTTTGAAAACTAAGACTCTTTCATTTACGAAAAACCCTTTTTAATATTTTTAAATAATTAATTAATTAATAATTAATGAGTCAAATTTATAATTTATTTAATATGAACATATTAAATATCCATATATATTTAGAATAAATTAATGAAAATTCATTCCTTTTAATTCATAATAATTATTATTTTTAAAGTAATAAATCCCACTAACTTACTTTTAATATATAAATAATTTTACTTATATATTAGAATAAATTAGTGGGGTTTATGACTCGTCATACATAATAATTATTATTTTTAAAAGTAATAAATTCTATCAACTTATTCTAATATATATATAATTGAAACAATATAGAATATCAAATAAATTGCAAACTTAACCCCATCAATTATTAATTTCATTATTTATTTAAAAATATTCATCGATTAAATTACCGTAGCTAAATGTACAAAAAAGGTCATTTATTTATTAAAAAAATAAAAAGAGCTCCTAGTTCTTAAAACAATCTATAACACATAAACTTGCTTAGCCATAATACTTTTATGAACATATTAAAATTGAGTTTATATTATACTTATTAATAATAAGAAGGAAAAACAGACATTAACATTCAAATAGTATGTATTTAGTTTGTAAATTTTTAAATTATCTTGAAAGGAATCTACACTAAAATAACATGATATAAACTATTGATTAAACTTTATTATCTTATAAAAATAATGTAGAGGCATCTGAATACACAAACACTTGAAAATAGTGTTAGTGCTAGAATCTCCACCCCATTTCATTATTGGCAACGTACAGCGCTGTATACACTATTAACAAAGCATACCAGAGACTCTAATTTATTGCCTTATTTGCTTAGGAAAAATCACACAAATTTAAATTAATTAGACTCTAATACGATTATACTAACAGATATAATGCTCAGTGGAAGGAGAAGTCGTTTAATAAAATAGGCTCACGGAGAAAGCTATAAAAATAACCTTCTAATTCCACTGCCCAAATACACCATATAGTGTTTCACCTCATCACAGCATTAGAAAAGATAAAATAATTTGACTATTTGATAAAGAAAAAATGGAGAGCTTGAGTGTGTGTAACAATCAGATCATTGATAATAAAATCTCACTGAAATCCGCTAAGATAATTATAGTTATCATCATAAGCTCCAAATTGAAAATTGAAAAGAAAACAAAGTTTATGAAGATTAGTATGCTCAGACAGCCAAGGGTTTGTCTTCAATCATTTAGGGATTTTAAAAAACCCCTAAAATGATCAGAAACTCTAGTCCACAAATTGCTTCATCACCGCACAAAATTTAACAAACAACACAATAAAAACAGAGAAAATAATTTAAGAGAAGATGATAAAAGAGGATGAAGAGAGGAATAATATATAGAATTTGATGGTGCTAGCTGCTAGGGTTATAGTGGGGCGTTACAACAAGGTTTTTTGATGGGCCAGCTTGAATTTATTTCTTTTTGGATCAAATAGTGTTCAAGGTTTTGGACTCAATAAGGGCCCATTAACTACTATTATTTCTGCACATTCTAAAGTTGTAAAATAATGGAGAAACTACCTAATCACACATACATTCATAGTATATTTTTATTAGTTCTCTCTAAGTCCGATCATGGTTCAGTTTAGATCGGTTAGTGGTTAAAATTAAAATTAAATTACTTCAATTAATTTTTAAATTTTCAAAATCAAATGAAAAAATTAACGTCCATCCTTTTGGTTATTGTCTGTTTGGTTTCTATTTTTTTTGTAATATTTCTATTTGAAAGTAATAAATTTTTTGAGGGCATGAATATCTCGATAGACACAAACAGATAGTACATGAATAATCCACTAGAATACTATTGTGGATTCAATTGAGCAATAATAGAATCATTACACTAACAAAGTAATACAATTAAGAATGTGATTATCTTATGTGAGATAGAGTAGGTAATGACTAAAATAATGAATTTCGATGGACTTGAACTTAGGATTGTAATAATTGGATTAAAAATTTTAACGGTTGGACTTGAGAAAATGATAAGGTTAAAGATTTAAGTTAATTAAATTTTAACAAAATATTTATATTTTATTTAAGAATAATAAAATTTATACATACCTTTCTCAGTTTGATTGGATCATTTTTGCAGTTATTTATTATTAGTATCAAAACCAACTCAAAGAGTACTGATTTTCAATATTTAAAATCAAATCAAACAAGATATCGATTTTTTTAATTTGTTTGATTCGAATTGCGGTTCAATTTAACTTTTTTAAGCATAACTATAAACAACCCTAGTTATCTCTATAGTTTGAAATAACTACATATTATTTGATAATATCATACTAGATTTGAAGTAAGATACATTTAGATATATGTACTTTTAATTTGCTATCAGATTCAGACTGAAGTGCAAACATATAGGGAGAAAGGAGGCAGGAAGAGGAGAGAGGCGATTTTAGATAGGAGGGAGGCGAACAAGAGAGTCAGTGTATCCCATAAACATGTGATTCACACTAGATACATGTACATGAGATACATAGATATTTTAAAATATAGATACATAATGAGAGAGGTGAGCGAGAAAGCAAGAGGGGAGAGAGGAAGAAAAACAAGTGAGATAAGTGAGAGGCGAGTTAGAGAGTCATTATATACAAGATACATGCAAATCCACCTAGATACCATGTATCTAAAATATATTACAATTAATTTTGATCCCATATATCTGAGATATAGATATATGAAATTAAAATTTAGCATGAATGATAGTTTTAAAAACTCAAGAAAATTCATGTAATTAAAATCTTAAATTAGTAAGATTTATATTATTTGTATACACACATTATAATATTTGTCATTTAAATTATATTTTTTTTGTCATTGACAAAAAAAAAAAGATGCACACAATTTCTGAATATTTATTTTCTAATGTTTTTTTTTTTAAAAAAAATAGAGTATTTAAATTTGAAATCTCAATAAAAGTGTTGATTAATTAATAGACTTTGACCCTTACAATATGGAAAAGTTTGGTCTAATTAAATACAAATGTGTAGAAAAATTTTCAATTACAAAAGTGTGTATTGATGTAATATTCTTTGCCAAAAGTGATATATTGTATTAGATTTTCAAAATATCTGATAAAAATGTGAATTGTTATAAAAAGAATTATAGGCATAATATATAAATGCTTTTAAATTTACCTCATTTACATTTACGTCTTTAAATTTTGGGTTTGCTCAAGTAGGCACTTAACTTGTATAAAATTTAACAAGTAAATATCTGATTCATAGGTAACATAATACATGTAGGACATCATGTAGGAGACAAACAGTCATGAAGAATTCCATATAGGATGTGTTTATATGTTCAACTTTATACACGTTAAAGTGTCTAGTTGTGCAAATTCAAAGTTGGAGGGTGTATATGTAATTAGAGGTCAAATTAAAGGAAATATTTAAAATACCCTTAAACTAAATTATATTTATCCTTAGACTATATTTCATCTCAAAATTTCCTTTTCGGTCAAACTATTGAATCAAAAATGTCCTTATTAACAACAAGTTGTTAAATGTCATGTGGATGTCACATTACACGCCAATAAGGTTCCACTGCCACATAGACTAAACGGAAAAGGGTAAAAAAATACACTTAAACTATTTGAAATAACTCATATTTATCCTTAAATTATATTTTATACTAAAAACTATCATTGCCGTCAAACTATTGGGTCAAAAATACCCTTCTTATTAATGAATGTTTTTAAATTCCATATGGATGCCACATTGAATGTCAATAGGGTTCCACTGCCACATAGACTGAATCCCTGAATTCTAATTACTCTCCCCCCCCCCCCCCCACACACATTTCATTAATACCCAGAAATCATTTTCATCCATTCTCCCTCATTTCGCGGCTAGAGGTTCATAGTTTTCTTGAGCGTGGATTTCAAAGTGTTTATTCGTGGTTTAGTAAATCTTTTTTCTGATTTTATTATGTTACTTATTTCAAAGCATGATAGTAAGAATTTCATAACTTTCCCTAATTTCACGGCTAGAGTTTTATAGCTTTCTTCGGAGCTGGATTTCAAAGTGGATAATCGTGGTTGTAAACATAATAAAATAAGAAAAAATGTTTACTAACCTACAACCAAAAATATCCACTTTGAAACCCAGCGTTGAAGAAAACTGTGAAACCCTAGCCGCGAAATGAGGGAGAAAAGGTGAAATCGTTTTTGAAAAATAATGAAATAAGGGGTTCGAGTAATTAAATTTAAGAATTTAGTCTATGTGGTAGTGGAACCCTATTGGTGTGCAATGTGGCATCTACATGACATTTAACAACTTCCATTAATAAGGACACTTTTGATTCAATGGTTTGACGAAAATGGTACTTTTAAGCGGAAATATAGTGCAAGGGTAAATAGATAGTTTAAGGGTATTTTACCTTTAGTTTATATGATAATGGGAGCCTATTGACGTGCAATGTGGCATCCACTTGGCATTTAACAACTTTCGTTAGTTATAAAAAAGGCACTTTTGATCCAGTAGTTTGACGAGAAGGGTAGGTTTAAGCTGAAATATAGATTAAAAATAAATATGAGCTATTTCGAATAGTTTAAGAGTATTTTGTCCCTTTCCCAAAAATTATATAATTTCCTAGACACTTTTTGCTTTTAGACTTTATTAGTCATTATTTTTTATTTAAATTTCATAAAAAAAATTTTTATTCAAACCATTTCAGACTCATTAAAGATCTTTAAGTAGAAAAAAAAAACACTTTTAATGATATGATATCTAAATCATTCAGGTTCAGATCTCCATTAAGTGCAACCAAATAAGGTCTTAACATATCTAATTTTCCTCCTCTTCTCTACAAGAACGGAGATAAAGAGAAGAAATTAAAAGCGCTTGAAATAAAATTTGATGTTTCTGGTATGATCCTAAAATTAATCATATTATACAAATCTAAGTGTAGTTCGAGTAAATTAATTAGAATTCTTTCAAATCTTCTAAAGTTTAGACTTTTGAAAGTGACCGATTGAACATCAAATTTTGTAGTTTTTAACCGCATGCATGTGATGCATTTAGTTTTGTACTAGAAATTCAATTTTAGCTTCATTATAAATCACATATAAAATAGCTTTTAAAGTTCATAACTTGTAATACTCAAAAGTCAAAACTTCTAATTATGATCATTATAACTTCATCTAGCAAGTGTTAGGGGGCCAGCTTTAAGGCAAGTAAATAGGTAGGTGTTTTATTATTAAGGAACAATAGGCTTGTAAATTATTATATTTTCGTTTTTGAAAGTTACTGGTTATCAATTATCATGTATAGAAATAAGGAATATTTTCGAAAAAGTATAATTACCTAAATTAAATTATAAATATATATAGTCTAAAACTTATATTGGAAATTTTTAGCTCAAAACACAATTTGTTATACGACATTATACATTCTGTATTCAATAATATATAAAACTCACATATTTTTTTTTTAAAAAAAAAATGCTTCTAAACAATTGTTTTTAATCCGTAAAAGTATTCCTCAACTTATTTCCCCATCAATACAAGATCCAAGTTTTTCCTCTTTCTTTTTTGGAAAAATTAGTAAACTAGTCAAAATAAATAACATATTTAGTAAAAATATCCATACTTTATAAATATTAGCAATAATGTCAAAAATGTCATTATTTTTAAAAATTTATGTGTCCCAATTTTCTTCCTATTTTATCTCTCTTTTTCAATTAATTCTATATATCCTTTTTTTTAAAAAAAAAATTATTCTCTCTCATATTTATCTTTTCAAATTGTTAATTCTCTCTCCCATTTAATTTTTTTTCTCTCTTATGGTTATCTTTTCTGATTTTCCTCCAACATTCAAGTTGCAAATATTTTTTTGCCATATATTTTGGTTGTTTTTTAATCCAAAATTGAATCAACAAGAATCCCTTTGATTAAGGTATCTCTAATCTTTATCCTATTTTCAGATTTCTTTTCTAATTTTATTTTTGTTTAAATCTTAAAAAAATGTTGTTT